AACGTCCCTATGAGCAATTGAATTGACGGTGTGTTCTGCAGTCAACCTTTGACCTTGTTCTGACTGATGATGTCGAGCATCTCCATCATATCTTTTCACAGATATAGATGATTTGATTCCTATGTATTCCATTCAGGGATGTCCATGTATAGAGTTGCCAATTTATGTTGTTGAAAAAAGGTACTTGCAGTGAAGAAGTTATTGGTCTTACAAAATTTTGTTATATGATCTCTGGCATCATTTCTATCACCAAGACCATATTTTCCAACTACTGTTCCTCCTTCTTTGCATCCAACTTTTGCATTCCAATTACCAATAAATATTAATGCATCTTGATTGCATGTTTGGTCAATTTCAGACTGCAGAAGCTGGTAAAATACTGCAATTTCTTCATCTTTGATCCTTAGTGGTTGGTATGTAAATTTGAATAGAGTTGTATTGACTGATCTTCCTTGTAGGCGTATGGATATTATCCAATCACTTACAGCATTATACTTCAGGATAGATCTTGAAATGTTTTTGATGACTAATGCTACACTATTACTCTCCAACTTATCATTCCTGGTGTAGTAGACGTTGTTGTTGTTATGTGCCGTCAAGTTGGACCTGACTCATAGCAACCCTTCCTTGGGTTTCCAAGGCAGTATCACTATGGAAGTAGATTGCCTAACCTTCCTAATGAGGAGCACCTGGTGGGTGCCTTAGGCACTATGCTACCAGAGCTCCCATAGTAGACATAAAATTGTCCAATTCAAAATGGCCAATACCAGTCCATTTCAGCTCACTAATGTCTAGGGTATCAATCTTTATGTGCTCCACTTCATTTTTGATGACTTCCAATTTTCCTAGATTCATACTTTGTACATTTCATGTTCTGATTATCAATGGATGATTGTAGCTGTTTCTTCTTCTTTTGAGTCATGCCACCTTAGCAATTGAAGGTTCCAAAAGTTTCATTCCATCCATGTCATTATCTTGGCTCTACTTTGAGGAGGCAGCTCTTCCTCACTTCCTGAGTGCCTTCCAAATTGAGAGGCTCATCTTCCAGCACTATACCAGTTGGTGTTCTGCAGGTACTCATAAGGTTGTCATTGGCCAATTTTTTCAGAAGTTGACCTGGCCACATCCTTCGTCCTAGTCAGTCTTAGTCTGGAAACTGCTGAAACCTGTCCATTATGGGTGATCCTGCTGGTATTTGAAATACTGGTAGCATAGCTTGTTAGCATTAGAGCAATACACGAGTCACCAGTGTCCAACAAGCTGACAGATGAGGGATAGTATATATGTGTACACACACACACATTTATACTATGGGTAATGCCGCCCATGTATATACTGGTAACTAAAGGAGTTTTACAGTTATGAAACAAGTGGTGAAGCAATGCTTAAGTGGAAATAAAACGGGTATCAAGAACACATTTTTTAAAAAACTTATTAAAAAGAAAGAGCATTCCCTTTCCACTTGTTTAATTATTTTTCACTCCTAACTTCACTAAATGCAACTTACCTACTTTATAAGATACTGAGTTGACCCTGTTGCCATTCAATCTCTCCCCCTAGCAGAGTCATGTCTAAGGTTTGGCCAGTATGGCACATGCCCTGAAGGAGACACTGCTGAACATTTTCTGTTAACCATTCCAGTTTCCTTTGCCAGCTGTGAGAGATCATTCAGCAAGTTAAGACTAATACTTCCATATTTGATATCTTCCATGGGTCAAGGCAGACTGTGTGATCTTGCTTTGCTGAGCATAGAAAGAGGAGAAACTGAAAAAAATTGACAGAGTACATCATAGACCAATTTTCATCAGTGAAAGCAAAGAAGGTGAAGTTGTAATTTCATGGAGCTCTGGTGATGTTGTGGTTAGAGCATTGGGCTGCTAACTTCAACATTGGCAGTGTGAACTTACCAGCTACTCCATGGGAGAAATACGAGGCAGTCTGCTTCCAGAGAGATCTACAGCCTTGGGAACCCTATAGGGTAGTTCTACTGTGTCCTATAGGGTCATTATGAGTTGGAATGGACTCGATGGCAGTGGGAGCCATAATGTGTTAAGTAGAAGATTAACAAGGTTGACATGTACTTTAGAACTGATATTATGGTAAACTTATCTAAAAGATGAATGTCAGATGTTTGGACAGAGGCACAATTTCAGTGCTTGCCATAGGCACTATTTTCTGTAGACAGGCCTCTGCTGTGTAGCTAGTTGACATCTCCAAACATGCAGTTTAAGCCATTAATCTATTCACTTCAGCCAACTGCACCTAAGGGCATCAGATTATTCTGTTTATCAGTATTAGCTTCCATGGCCTTGACAAGCTGAGCAGATACAGCTGAGTAGGGTAATGTGCTGGCTTAAGCATCTGATTTTGGGGCTTCTACCAGCAAAAGTGGCAGAAATAGAGGTTTGTGCAGGTGTCAGATGTTTGCCTGTAAAGAAGTTGGCAGTGAA